AAGGTCACTGCAAATGATTATGTAATTGCTCACCAGTTGCTACCAGCCTGTTGTCTGGGTTATTAATTACTTTCCTAACTTGAGGCTTACAGGTTTTCCCCTGCGTTCTTTTCCTGGAGAATATTCCACTCGCTGAGAGAACATTGTAGACACGGCGGCTTAATGACATGAGGTCATTGTCTTGCGTATGTAGCCTCCAAATTGTAGAATTTTTTTATTTTTTCTTGAATATTCAGCTTGATAGCTTCTTCCCATTAGGTAAAAACTACACTCTCATGGCTGTAACATTTCATAAAAACACAGGGTGCTTTGAAAACGTTGGGTGCTTTGTATTCTTGAAAGGTAGGAAAATGGTACGAAATATCCTGAGAAATTTTCTGGGAAATCCCAAAATTATTGACTTTTCGAAATGCAAAAACTATCAGAAATTCGTAGAAGAAATTTTCCTAAATGTGGCTATACCGCGCGACGTGGACTTCTTTACCAGATATTCCGGAAAATCATGTCCCGGACCCAGAAATCCAAACTGGATCATTTGGTCTAATGGTAAATTTCTCAGGATGTTTATCATGCCAAGATTACAGGATAACGAAATCATCGCTTTCCTTAACGGGGTTCAAACCCATTGACTCCCAAACACTGGCTGGGGGCTCTATCCACTGGTTCCCTGATTTATGTACAGTTTGGAATAAACTGTGACCCATTATGGTCCTTCTTGCATTCAAAGCTCTTTACTTCACAGCCTCTTATGCGCAATCAAGAAGAAAGTGACTTAGTTATTGCTTATGTTCACAGTTCTTGGCAGCAACTTTGATCTGGTTTTCAAAGGTAACTCCACTAACAACATGGTTCTTCTTACGGACAACGATAGAGTTCCTAGTATGCTCCGCTTCACCATTGCCATGTTTGTCCGAGCAGATTCAAAGTTCAAGTCAGGCACTTTGTTTGGATACAGTGTGGAACAGAACATCGGCGAAACTATACTGCTCTATTTTTCTTCCTTACAAATCCACCTGAAAGTCAAAGACAAAGTC